GTGCCAGGGTGGGGGAAGCGTGATTCCCCACCTGCTTGCCTTTCCACCCCGTACCTCGCTGCTCCAGAATGGCTAACCTATGATGATTCTTGGAAGTTTCTGGAAAGAGTTTAAGCTGATTTTTTGGTTTTTGTCTGTTTTGGACTCAGAGGATCTCAGAACGAGAACTGAAGTGCCTTCGGAGGTGGCCCAGGGTGACCTTTTCCATAATGGACAGAATGAGCAAAGGAGAGCCCACTGTATCTTCCGTGGGGTTTCTGTGACCTGTGGCCATTGTGTGTCCCTTTACAAGTATATCTGTTTGGGCCCTTAGGCTAAGCAAAGGGCCACTTGTCAAGTGGTGTAGGGGCTTCTCTGTTACTCCAGCTTGCACAGCACACGCTCCAGACCCTGATGAGCACCGTTCACTAATTATGAGACTCTCCCCCTGATGTGGGTACATGACGGGGTCTTTTCTTGGTGCTAGACTCTCTTGGGTCTTTTTTGTTTGAGGTCTTGCACCTCAAACAGGCTGTGAGGATGTTCACTGAGGGTAGTCGGAGCAGCTGGATGAGGTGCCAAGAGCAGAGACTTGGGAGGCTAACAGCAATAACAGCCGCCACCACCACCCCACCGCCACAGCTGCTCCCAGCTGAGCTCCTAACGCATTCCTGGCGTTTTGCTGAGCGCCCCACAATTGCACCTTCTCATCTCCTGTCACACATCCTGAAAGCAGACCTTACACGACAGGCACCACTTTCGTCTGCATTCGCACGCGAGGACACAGGTGCACAGCCCGTTCAAGGTTATCAAAATCGAAGGTGATGGAGCCAGTGCCCGAATCGAGGATGACTCAGACTCAGGACACAGCCTCCTAAGTGCCCCGCTGGCAGAGGTTCAAATCCCCAGTTTGCTAAAATCTATGATAAAATATTTTTTTTGATGGCTTATTACGGCCAGGACGCTTCGCGACGGTGTGTTCTTGGTGAAGGTTCTTAGCAGCTCGGGTTGTTTACACGCAGGTGTTTGGCCTGGTTATTTTGAGGGTGAGGTGTGGATGCAACTCCTGCCGCGGAGCAGGCCTCAGTAAGCCAGAGCCGGAAATACACCTGCGGTAACCTGGAGGGTCTTCTGGCGTCGGTGTGGATTTGGTTTAATTACCTCGGACAGTTGGTTAAGGAGCCGCAAAGCCCACTGAGCCCTTCAGCCTCTCGGGGCAGATGGGTGACACGATCTCTGAAGCTGTCATCCCCGCCAGACAGTTACAGAAAGCCACATGAGCTTTCTTAGGGGATTATATGCAGTTCAGAGGAAAAAAAAATCCAGAATCATGTATTTAATTGCTGGGGTTATTTAATTAGGCAGGTGATAGCAGGGTTAATGAATCATTAACACATAAAAAACCAATTAGCTCATTGTTTCCATAATTTGAGGCGATGAAGCAGAAAGCTGTTTCTTAGGGTAGTTGTACCTTAATAGAATTTTGCAGCTAATAACTTCTGTTGTTTTGTTTTTAAACTAGGTCAGTAAATTGATGGTAGCTATTGATGCTCGAGGCTTTGATGGTGCTGCTATCAGCAGGCAGGTGGATATAATCTAGATGGTGTGACATGGCTCTAGGTCTCCAATGACCTTGCGTTTTCTGGATTCTTCCTGGAGGAGCAGGGCTGTTTATCACTTGCCGTGACAGCGTCTATTCATTCACAGTCACGACGTCCTTCTCCAACTCCTCCTGTGGGCCGCTCGCTCTTCGGGCTCCGGGGGTCCTTTGTCCCACGTGACAGTCGAGAGCTCTGCTTCTCAGGAGGCTTGCAGCCTGTAAGGAGGAATCGATAATAGGTAAATAAATAAGCACAAACATTAAGACTGTGTTAAATGCTGTGGTGGAAACGAATCTAGGGCGTGACTGGTCCGGGAGGGCCTCTCTGAGGAGCTGCTTCCAAAGTGACTTCCTCGTGCAGGGAAGAGCGAGGTGTGCAAAGAGAGAGAACGTTCCAGGCTCAAGGTCTTGATGTTCAAGAGCTGCAGGAGTGCGTGCGGGGCTGTGGTGTGGGGAGGCCGGGAGGGGAGGGGGCGTCGTGGGCTAGTGGCCATCGCCACCACAGGGGCTGAGCCATAGGGTGACCACGCCGACTGCTGTGTCCAAGGGCGGCTCTGCCCCGCGTGGGGAGGGGGCGAGGGTGGGATGCGAGGACAGCCGCCTGGCCGGCACGGTAGAGGCAGGGAGGGCGAGCGCCGTGGGGGGTACGGCTCGGGGGGGGGGGGGGGGGTGGGCGGAGACATGCTAATGGTTTAGCTGCGGGCTGTAAGGGAGCAAGGACTCCCCAGTGTCCCCCACGTTCTGGGGTGGAGCAAATGGGTCGGGCTGGGGCCGCTTTCAGAGATGGGGAAGTGGGGGGACGAGCAGCTGGCTGTGGGTCAGACCAGCATTCTCTTGGGGCCTCAGTGAGATGCAGATGCCCAGGGGCTGTCTCTCTCCGTCCCACTACCTCTCTCCATCCCACCATCCCTCTGCATCTCTCTCTGTCCTGCCATCTCTCTGTGTCTCTCTCCGTCCCGCCATCTCCATCTCTGCATCTCTGATGTGTGGGGAGACTCGGGTTCACTGCTTGGGGAGTTATCACTACGGGGCAGGTGTGGTGTCGCGCGTCTCCTGTTATCTCACAGGCCCCTGGGAGCTGTGTCGTCCCCCCTGCAGACAGGACTGGACTCAGCTCAGGGCTCCATCGGTCCCGCAGGCTCGCGCGGGCAGGGGCAGGGCGAGGCGGGCTGGACGTGAGGCCTGGGCTGCAGGGTCCACGTGCCCTCGTCCCACCTGCGGCTGCCTGTGGCCTGCTCTGCCGCCCGGGCCTCTCAGGCAGCCCTCCCTCCTGACTCGGTGGTTCAAGCCGTAGCAGGTGCTGGACGGGCCTTCTCCTCGGTCACCTCGCCGTGACTCGTCCTTCTGATCCTTCTCCACTCCGCCCGGTGGGCCCGCTGCCTCCTCGGGGCCTCAGAAGACCCAGAATGGCACTTTCTCTTCCTCTTTTTAAAAAACAGTGCCGGGGAGAGCAGGAGATGCCCAAACTTTGTCGCCCCTGTTAATGGTCCGTGCAGCTCGCTCCTCCCTCTCATGGTGAACCCGGAGGACGCAGGTCGGTGTTATTCTTGGCAAAGGAGCTTTGTAGGTGACTCCAACGCACGTGGGGTAACTGGGAGAGCTGCGCCAACGTCACAGGTCTGGGTGGTCTGGGTGGGCGTGAGCGGGGCAGCCCTGCAGGACTAGGGAGTGGGGGCAGACAGGGCGGTCAGGCAGGACGGGGTGGGGTGAGGGTGTACACGGCGTCCAGGCAGGTGGGGGCGGGGAGACAGGGCCGTCAGGCAGGCGGGGTTGGGGGAGACAGGGTGTCCAGGCAAGCGGGGTGGGGGGATCCAGCTGTGGGCCCGGGCGGTCGGCCTCTGCCCTCCTGCCCTCCCTGCTGGAGCAGTGCCCTGAGCGCCAGTGCCCACCTCGGGCAGAGCCTCTCCCAGCTGCAGGCCTGGCAGGGAGAGGAGCTCAGGGAGGCAGCGCTAGGGGCAGAGATGAGGCTCAGGAGTGGGGGGGGGGTTCGTGGTTGGACCCCAGTCCCAGCCCCAGGCCTGCAGCTAAGGGTTCCGGTACCGAGTGACTCGTCCCCTGCTGTGAGCTGCATGGTGGGCCTGAGACGGGTGAGGGAGGGGCAGCAGCAGGTGTGCAGGTGCAGCAGTGCCGGGGGCAGGGCTCCAGGTCAGGCCTGGGGGCGGGGCTCCAGGTAGGGTTCTTGGGGGCGGGGCTCCAGGTCAGGGCTCTGGGGGGCGGGGCTCCAGGTAGGCCTCTGGGGAGGTGAGGCTCCAGGTCAGGCCTTCCGGTGGCCTTGGTGTGAGGAAGGGCGGCTCGTGCATCTCAGCCAGGAGCTCACTGTGCAGCGGGGCCACCTTACAGGGACAGCAGCGTGTGGCCTGGGCGACCCGCTCATTAGAGGGTGTCATTAGAGGGTGCTTGGTGGAATGGGTTTAGCGCTGGCACGGAGCGGCTGTGCTGTGCGTGGTACGCGGGCTCTGAGCTGGCAGGAGTCTGAGCAAAGGCCCTGTGCTGCCGGGGTCCTGCGTGGAGCAGTGGAATGAGGTGGGTGCACTCGGGGAGAGGCAATGTGGGGGCCTCGTGTGCCCGGGGAGGCTTTTGGGCTATGGAGGGCTGGAGGGTGATGAGGCCCCAAGCCCTCCAGCTGGGTGGGCTGGGTGACAGGAAGGAACACAGCTGGGGCAACTTTCAGGGGTGCTGATGGAGAAGCCTTGAGAAGCTCCGGGGCTGCGCGGGGCCATGGGCTCTGTTCCCCAGTGCTCCAGGGGTGCAATCCCTCCTCTTGCTTGTCCGGACTCTCTTAAAGGAGAAGACCGTGAAGAAGAGAGGTTCTGCTTGTCCGCGGCAGGGCTCCCATCCTTGTCGCCCGGGAGCGTCTAGGCCCCGGTGGGTGTGAGGCTGAAGGTGAATGAGGCCCCAGGGGTGGCTCAGCCCCTTAGGTTGGAGTCGCAGGAAAGGGAAGAGAAGCATCGGGGAGCCCGGGGAGGCCCTCTCACCACCTGGCAGGACATTTAGCTCGACCCCCATGGCCTGACTCAGAAACCTTGGTCGTTCTTGGTGCCCACAGTTTGCCCGAGCCACATACCTGGGGAGCCCACCGACACCTGCCTGGCGATGAGCTGCTGGGCGCCCCTTAGCACCCTGGTCGGTGTGTCTCCCCTGACCTCCCGTGACCGCTCCAGCCCACCGTGCTCTGCACCTGCGCACGGGACCTTCACCCCCACTGGAGTCCACAGCCACTGATCCCCGTCCCCGTCACCTGGCCTGGCTGGGTGGGAGTCCCGTTCTGCTCCCAGCAGGGAATCCGGCCTCCCCGGAGCCCATCCTGGGGCCTCCCTGCCTTCACTTAGGTTTCGGGGCCGTGCTCTGCAGGCCATTGGTATTTACCAGGTGTTCGCCAGTTTGAACTGAAGTCTCAGGCCTGCTTTTTTCTTTTTTTCAGATCAAACCAGTGGTACATTGTGATATGATTGTGCCGTCCAGGTGGCAGACATTTCATCGTACATCCCGACACGTTAAGTGAGTAAGGTCTTGTGGGTGAGAAATCACGACTGCTGTAGCTCCTTAAAGATAAGTGTTCGAGCTACACGGACTCGCCTTCACCCCTTCACCCCTCTCCCCCTCCCCTCCTCCTTCTCTCCCTCTCTGGCAGGGACACCTGTATGATTCAGCAGGTGCTACATATCCTTTCTTCCCTCGAACCCTGATTTTGGAAAAACGATCCAATTGCCGTGGTGTCCAACAGGTTACATGGAGGTGGAAACGCAAGGGCTTCATGCAGACAATTTAGTCTTAGGGTTTATTTATTTGGTTTCAATCTAGCAGTTGCAGCTGCTGGGTGTTGAAAGGACACTCAGTAGCTTCCCCACCCTGAGCTCTTGCTGGCAGAGCCCTAGGGTTACAGGGAGTCCTGCTCCTGTGCTGATCGGTGTGCAGTTGTCCAGAGTGATGGAGGCCATGTTCTGGGCCCGTCTGGCTTACGTTTTGGGGTTGGGACAAAGAACATACTTGACTCAACAAATCATTGGCTCAAATTCTGCCTTTTTTTTTTTTTTTAAAGATTTTATCTATTGATTCATGAGAGACACAGACAGAAACAGGCTCCATGTGGGACTCGATCCCAGGACTCCAGGATCATGCCCTGGGCTGAAGGCAGGTGCTAAACTGCTGAGCCACCCAGGGATCCCTCAAATCCTACTTTTATTTTACTGTCTTTGTGAATGGCACACACCTGGTCTCCCTGAACTGGCTCCCTTGCTTGTAAAACGGGACTCCCGAGCCGCGTGGCAAGGTGCGCTGAGGGCTCCCTGGCGACCTGTCCAAAAGGCCCACGCTGCCGGTCCCAGCTCTGACGCTCCCCAGATGGCAGTTCTCTCCAAATCCTCCTCGTATTGTGATATTTTAATTTTAATCCATAATATTTTACAGATTAAAGTCTCTGGTGTTGAGGTGGGCATAGGACCCTCCCTTTTACCATGTTCTCCCAGAGGACAGAATTTCAGCAAGAGGCAGGGGCTCTCCATGTCCAGGTGACACTAGCAGGGGTGTCCAGTCCTGGCTGCCATCAGCATCTGCCATATTCCTGACCCGGTGCCCTTCATGCTTGTGCTGACCGTCGGGGGGCTGGGGACCCATTGGATGGAAAGCCCTTGCTACATAGACTCCTCAGAGCCCAGACTGGGAAGTGGAGGGATGTGGGAAACGTGACCTGTTGATTAGCCAAATTTGGCCTCTTTCATCTCTCTTCAGAGCCTCCACGATCAAATACCTTTCCTTGCTCGTGTGCAGGGCACACACGTCAACAGCTAGGCCTTTCCATTGTGCCTTCTGCAGGTCTAAGAGCTGGTTTGAAGGGATGAGAGGCACAGCGTTTCCGAATTTTGTGAAAGACCTCTGTTTCTGAAGAATGTATAGAAATCTCAGAGGACGGGATTGGCTTATGGTCCTTCCTGGCAAAGAAGCATATTGCTAAAGCTATATATATATATATTTTTTTTTTCCGGGCATGAGCCAAGACATCAGTGATTCTCACTTATTTTGATGGACATTTTTCTTTCTATTACCACTTACACTTGCTCCATGCAGACCATGTACGCATGTACTCCATGCATTATATTGGTGTGTCAGAAATTCCACTAGATGGACCCAAATATCCATTGAAACACAGTGTCTTGTCTACAAAGACCTGATCATTTTTGCTTGGAGACCTTGTAACTATAAAAACAAGCAAACAAAATAGTTAAGATGGGTTCCAGAGGCTTCTCTCATCCTCATGGGTGGGGTGGTGGGGTGATGGGGTTGGGGTGGCTCATTGAACATGTGCTGGATTTGGAGGGAGAGCCCCATGCTCCCCTGTCTGGGTCTCCTCAGAATTGAGCTGGTCCAGGCGATATATATTTGAAGTGGAGGTTGAGGCTCGATTTATGTCCTTCGGCCACTAAGCAAGCTGTGTAACCTGGTACATGTTGGGTCATTGTAATCATCATCACAGGCACCTGACTGAAGTCCATTCCTAGATCCATGTGGTATTTCCTATTTGAAAAAAATTAGGGATGCCTGGGTGGCTCAGCGGTTAAGCGTCTGCTTTCCGGCTCAGGGTGTGATGCTGGAGTCCCAGGATCGAGTCCCACATTGGGCTCCCTGCATGGAGCCTGCTTCTCCTTCTGCCTGTGTCTCTGTTTCTCTCTCTCTCTGTGTCTCTCGTGAATAAATAAATAAAAATCTTAAAAAAAAAGAATTAAAATATTTCCTATTTTAATAATTTAAAATATGTCCTCCTTAGAATATTTAAAATATTTCCTATTAAACATTAATGAGCACCATTGGCGGTACATTGACTATATAGTTTTATGCCTTTAATTTCTCTTATTTCAGTTATTTTTGAAAATCAATGATTTTTTGTGACCAGAGCAACCCATGCCCACGGTAAATATATAGTTTTAAAAGGTATACATTAAAAGTAAGTGTTCCTCCCACTTTATATTCCTATATCTCTAGTGACTTCCCCAGAGGCAACCACTGCTGACCCTTCTGGAGGGTCCTTGGAGCGCAGGCTCCCAGGTACACACTTTGGCAAACATAATATCCTACAAATACTGTTGTGCAGTCTCCTTTTATTTCACCGCATAGTGTATTTTGGAGATGGTTCCTTATGAGCACACATGGATAAGCTGTGCTTTTAAAAAAAAAAAAAAGTAAAAAAAAAAAAAAAGGCTACATAGTTTCCCAAAATTTGGATGTGCTCTAATCTAAAGGTGCTGGGCTTTTGCCATGTGCCAGGGGCTCCTGCCCACCTGTTACCTCTCCATCACCTGCGTTCCTGGGCAACCGTTCTTGGGTGTTCCAGTGGGGTTGGTCGGTCAGCCATCCAGCTGCCTGGAATGCCAGGTGGCCGGCGGACGGTCTGATGCTTGAATTCTGGTGTAGCAAGAAGGTCTAGTTATTCTTCAGCTCAACCAGCAAACTTTGGGTGACGTGTTTAGTCCAGCATGCCCTCTGAACTTGTGATTTCCTAACTTATAAATTGGAGATAACAGTTCTTTCCCTTTTTTTGGTCTTTTAAAATTAAAATATTCATATGGGTAGCTTTCCCCATGTTTGCATGCTTATTATAAATAAATGTGAGAACCTAGAAAAGCTTAAAGAGTGAAATAAAAATCCCTCATGCTACGCTTCAGACAACCACTATTAGCTGGAGGGACACTTACTTTTCCTGTTCTCTTTGTATCTCCTGTTGTGCATTTTTTTATGACATTAATTATATTTGACCATTTCCCCTGTAAATATAAATTCTGCATAAACAATTTTAAACGGATACATAAGTGATTATTGTATGGCTGGGCCACAATTTATTTAACCATTGCTCAGTTCCTGGACCTAGAGGTTGTTTTTATGTTTTTGTTTCTATAAATAATCCTGTGGGAAACATCTTTACATATAAATCTGTTTCATTTCCATGCATGGGATTTTGCGAAATGGAAAGAATGGGTCAATGGTTATTAATCCCACGCATCTCCTCAGTCTATGTGACCAGCTGCGCCTGAGGAAGATCGTGACACTCTGAGCAGCGCTGGTGTATGTGTCTGTGTGTCTGTCTGCTGGGGCTGCCACAGTTTAGGGGGGACACAATTCAGTTCATAAGAGTGCCCATTACCCCACACTCAGGATAAGCATGTATGTTAAATATCCTCGAAAATTTAGATGAAAACCCAACATGACCTTGTTTAAACACTTGTTTCATTATTAGTAATCTGTGTTTGTAAAGACTTTTGGAATAAAACACTTAGGAAAACCAATAGATGGAACAGGGTAGCAAATATTTATTATTTGGAGTGATAGCGCATAAGTGCATTGTGATATAACTCGCACAGAACATTGTTTTCTAGGGTTTATTTTGGGGCAATATTTTACCCATGGAAGGAGGTGGTCTCTGCATTGATTGGAAGCCCCTTACCACAGAGCATTAGAAAAGAAAACAGATTCTCTGTATTTTCTCATAAACATATTCAAGTTTAGATTTGCTCTAAAAAGAAAAAGAGATGTATTCATCCAATTTTAAGTTACTTGCATTACAGGAAACAAAACAACAGTAACCATAAATAATAATGTAAAAAATTGAAAGCTGGAATCGTAAAATCGAGCTCCTTAAGGTTAAATACTATTCATTGCTTTTAGACTTAAAGAAACAAGGCTCGTACTTTACATTATTTTAGTAGGAGTCACAAGAGTCTGAAACTGCTGCCAGGTGACTTGGACCAGGTGGCACAGCCTCATTAACGGGAGAACCTTGCCATGTGGTCTCTCCCCTCTGCTGACCCCCCGCTTCCCCCCAACACAGAAGAAAAATAAACCCGCTGGAACCTCGGCGAAGCTGCCTTAAAACTGCACGAGTGAAATCCGTTGTTTTATTATCTTTTCGGAGGATTGCACGTTATTTCCTCTGGGACACTAACTTGACTCCATGGGAAGGGACAGTAACTGCATTTTTAAAGTCAGAATTCCCCCTTTATTTGCCAAATGGGCACAATTTTCTTCCAGTTTACTCACCACAGTGGAGGCATGTTATTTAAAAAGTGGAGTTTCGTTCTGTTCACATGGGCACTTGATTGTGAAAAGAGGTTTCCCTGGGGTATTGCTGTGTCGCTGGGCCTTCAGCATCGAGCTGCTTGGTGACGGTCCCCGGCGGGCCGGGCCGTGTGTCCGAGGGCCGCCTGGTGTGGTGCGTGCCCCTCCTAGTCCTGTAATGGGGGTCCTTCTTGGAATTTCCAGTGTTTCGCCCTCAAGTGTAAGGTAGTAATGAATGCTTTTTTTTCCCCATTCTTACAGTGTTTTCACAAATGGAAGACTGTTTATCCCACCTGTAAAGATTATCATACCCAAGTTCACTCTGACCGAATGGAACAGCGTGCTGGCCACGATTGGGGAAAAAGTCTTCCCTCTAGGAGGCGTGCGAAAGTAAGGCTCCGGCACCCGTGGGAGACCCGATCCCAGCGCGGGAATGTCTGGCCTGGACCAGCAAGGCCTGCGATGCGACATCGTTAACTCTGAGTCTGATTCTTTGGGGGAGACAGTATTTCCTGTCTTTTTACCACATTTATTTTTAACCGGTTTATTTCATTTTTCATTCAACATAGTTTATTGAACATCTGACATGTGCTAGGTGCAGTGAATTTGGTGAATGAGGCCATGGGGATGGGGACAGGAGGGGTGGCCAGTGGTGGGGTAGACGGGGGGGACAGAGGTGAGGTGGCCATGGGGACAGGGAGAGGTGGGATGGATAGAAGGGGACGGAATGGGGACAGAGGTGAGGTGGCCATGGGGACAGGAAGAGGTGGGTGGATAGAGGGGGAACGGAATGGGGACAGAGGTGAGGTGGCCACGGGGACAGGAAGAGGTGGATGGATAGAGGGGGGTTGGAGTGGGGACAGAGGTGAGGTGGACATGGGGACAGGGAGAGGTGGGTGGATAGAGGGGGTATGGCCATGGGGATGGGGAGAGGTGAGGTGTCCAGTGGTGTGGGGTAGACAGAGGGGGTACAGAGGTGAGGTGGCCATGGGGATAGGGGGAGGAGTAGGGGACAGTGGGGGTATGGCCATGGGGATAGAGAGAGGCGGGGTGGACAGAGAAGGGACAGCCTTAGGGACAGGGAGAGGCAGGGTGGCCATGGCTGGTTGTGGGAGTGAATCCAGGGACAGTCTGGTGATCTTAGACCAGGGGCCTGGTGTGGATCGGTGGACCAGAAGGACAGAGCAGTGGGAGCAGCAGGGTTAGCAGGTTGTAGAGGGAAAGGCTAGGGCTTCAGCGCGGGGAGCACCGCCGGGGATGAGGAGCCCCAGCGTCTTGCATGGGGGTGGGTTGAGGAGCCGTAGGGAAGACACACACCTTCCAGGTTGAAAAGTAAGAGGTGTGGGATGAAGGATCATCTTTTTTTTTAAATAATAAATTTACTTTTTATTGGTGTTCAATTTGCCAACATACAGAATAACCCCCAGTGCTCATCCTGTCAAGTGCCCCCCTCAGTGCCCATCACCCATTCCCCCCCACCCCCCGCCCTCCTCCCCTTCCACCACCCCTAGTTCATTTCCCAGAGTTAGGAGTCTTCATGTTCTGTGTCCCTTTCTGATATTTCCCACACATTTCTTCTCCCTTCCCTTCTATTCCCTTTCACTATTCTTATATTCCCCAAATGAATGAGACCATATAATGTTTGTCCTTCTCCGATTGACTTACTTCACTTAGCATAATACCCTCCAGTTCCATCCACGTCGAAGCAAATGGTGGGTATTTGTTGTTTCTAATGGCTGAGGAATATTCCATTGTATACATAAACCACATCTTCTTTATCCATCATCTTTCGATGGACACCGAGGCTCCTTCCACAGTTTGGCTATTGTGGACATGGCTGCTAGAAACATCGGGGTGCAGGTGTCCCGGCGTTTCATTGCATCTGAATCTTTGGGGTAAATCCCCAGCAGGGCAATTGCTGGGTCATAGGGCAGGTCTATTTTTAACTCTTTGAGGAACCTCCACACAGTTTTCCAGAGTGGCTGCACCAGTTCACATTCCCACCAACAGTGTAAGAGGGTTCCCTTTATCCGCATCCTCTCCAACATTTGTCATTTCCTGTCTTGTTAATGTTCCCCATTCTCACTGGTGTGAGGTGGGATCTCATTGTGGTTTTGATTTGTATTTCCCTGATGGCAAGTGATGCGGAGCATTTCCTCATGTGTGTGTTGGCCATGTCTATGTCTTCCTCTGTGAGATTTCTCTTCATGTCCTTTGCCCATTTCATGATTGGATTGTTTGTTTCCTTGTTGTTGAGTTTAATAAGTTCCTTATAGATCTTAGATACTGGCCCTTTATCTGATACGTCATTTGCAAATATCTTCTCCCATTCTGTAGGTTGTCTTTGAGTTTTGTTGACTGTATCCTTTGCTGTGCAAAAGCTTCTTATCTTGATGAAGTCCCAATAGTTCATTTTTGCTTTTGTTTCTTTTGCCTTCATGGATGTATCTTGCAAGAAGTTACTGTGGCCAAGTTCAAAAAGGGTGTCGCCTGTGTTCTCCTCTAGGATTTTGATGGAATCTTGTCTCACATTTAGATCTTTCATCCATTTTGAGTTTATCTTTGTGTCTGGTGCAAGAGAGTGGTCTAGTTTCATTCTTCTGCATGTGGATTCTCTCAATAGATGCAGAGAAAGCATTTGACAAAATACAGCATCCATTCCTGATCAAAACTCTTCAGAGTGTAGGCATAGAGGGAACTTTCCTCGACATCTTAAAAGCCATCTACGAAAGCCCACAGCAAATATCATTCTCAATGGGGAAGCACTGGGAGCCTTTCCCCTAAGATCAGGAACAAGACAGGGATGTCCACTCTCCCCACTGCTATTCAACATAGTACTGGAAGTCCTAGCCTCAGCAATCAGACAACAAAAAGACATTAAAGGCATTCAAATGGGCAAAGAAGAAGTCAAACTCTCCCTCTTCGCCGATGACATGATACTCTACATAGAAAACCCAAAAGCCTCCACCCCAAGATTGCTAGAACTCATACAGCAATTTGGCAGTGTGGCAGGATACAAAATCAATGCCCAGAAATCAATGGCATTCCTATACACTAACAATGAGACTGAAGAAAGAGAAATTAAGGAGTCAATCCCATTTACAATTGCACCCAAAAGCATAAGATACCTAGGAATAAACCTAACCAAAGAGGTAAAGGATCTATACCCTAAAAACTACAGAACACTTCTGAAAGAAATTGAGGAAGACACAAAGAGATGGAAAAATATTCCATGCTCATGGATTGGCAGAATTAATATTGTGAAAATGTCAATGTTACCCAGGGCAATTTACACGTATAATGCAATCCCTATCAAAATACCATGGACTTTCTTCAGAGAGTTAGAACAAATCATCTTAAGATTTGTGTGGAATCAGAAAAGACCCCGAATAGCCAGGGGAATTTTTAAAAAAGAAAACCATAGCTGGGGGCATCACAATGCCAGATTTCAGGTTGTACTACAAAGCTGTGTTCATCAAGACAGTGTGGTCCTGGCACAGAAACAGACACATCGATCAATGGAACAGAACAGAGAACCCAGAAGTGGACCCTGAACTTTATGGTCAACTAATATTCGATAAAGGCGGAAAGACGATCCACTGGAAGAAAGACAGTCTCTTCAATAGATGGTGCTGGGAAAACTGGACATCCACATGCAGAAGGATCATCTTTATGAGCAGTGATGGGCCCCAGACGGTGGGCCTTGGGGTGGAAGAGCCAAAGCCTTTACTCCTATTTCACATGTCGATTATCTCTCTTGGGGGTAAATTAAAATGTACACGATTGATTTACAATCACATTTACAATCAACGGTTGTGACAGCACCGAGGGAGACTGAGCATCTCTGGTGAGCAGGACAAACTGTTGGGCGTTTAGAGCCACGGGGTCGTCATTAGCCCTAGCGAGGGAGGTGAATCCCAAGGTGACCCTACGCATGCCGGGCAAGTTAGATGTCACCTAAAAATCAGTACCGCGGGTCCCGGGTGGTTCCAGAATGCAGCTATAAATATCGGTGTGTGACTCTCAAAGACAGAGGGACAATCGTGCGGGGCAGACAGACTTGTGTGCCCTTTTGGAAGGAGCCAGGAGCGGTCGTGGAATTAATCCCACGTGTCACACGTGAAATGGCAGAGGCGAAGCAAGCAAGGCAACAGGACATTCGGAGGGAAAATCGGTCGTAAGATGAATAAGCTTATTACTTTTTGTCCCCCCAATTCTTTATGGTTGAGCTTAGAAGAAGTGCAGAGCCCGGGAATGAAAGAAATGCTTGGACGTACGAATAGTAGGTTGATTTGGTCTCCTCACTGCCTGGAAGGAACACTTAGCCTTCTAGAACAGACGTCCAAACAGACCCGCGCCCCCAGTCTCGTCCTGGCAAGGGGAGCTCGCCCGAGGGAAGACCTGACGCTCTTGGGGTGTTGACTCGAGCTTCTCCAGGGTCTGGTTTCCTCCCAGCGCCGCCACTGTCGAGAGAGAGCTCAGCTCTGCACCTCCGTCCCCCGAGCCGCCAGCTCACCTCATCCTTGTTTCTGTGGAAGGCGCCCCGATCCTCCCGGACCCCAGAATCCGAGCCGGGCTCCAGCTCCTCGGGCGCCTGTCACCCACCGGGCCTCACAAGTGCTGGGCTGCTCGCCTCCTTCCCTCCCGACGGGACCGTTACCCTGCTTGCTCCCCTCGACGGCCCCACCGCCTTGCCGTGAGGCACCCTTTGAATTGGGCGTTATGGCGAGTAGGATTTCTTTGACCGAATTTTTAAATCTTTTACATTTTTAAAAAATTTAAATTCAATTTGCCAACGTATAGTATCACCCCCAGTGCTCATCCCATCAAGTGCCCTCCTTGAAGTTTTCCAAACGGCAACCCAGGCTGTCCCCCCGCCTCCCGCAATTCCTCATGGGCGCGTCTGCGGGAGTCGCTTCCCTCGCACTTAGCTCCGTGCTGCAGGGCCGTGGTCCGCGTGAGTCTGTGCGGGAACCTTCCGAGGCCCGTGAAGGCGACCGGGCTCCGGCGCACCTTCCCGTTTGCAGGAGCGCGTGGCTTGCTGCGAAGTGTTTTTCCTTCCAGGTTTGGAAGGTGTCACTTCCCCGTCCTGTGCCTTCTGTGCTGTCGAAACATCTGATGTCGGGGCAGCTCTGGTGCCTTGCTGCCCGTCCTCTGGGGCGAGCCCTCGGAGGCCGCGTGCCTCCCTCCGTGCCATCCTGTGCCCGCGGGCCAGGGTTCTGTGGCCTCTGATTCCACGCCTGCTGACTCAAGCGAGGTCCTCTCCCTCTCTTCAATCCCGAGAAGTTCACCTTCATGCATTTCTCTTCCTTCCCACTTTAAAGTTACTTTTTTGAGATTCTTACTTTCTGGCTGTTGGCACTCCTGCTCGGCCTCATTTCTCGGCTTTTCTCGAATTCATGTTCCTTCTCACGCCGCTTTCCCCTGGGACACCCCTCACGGCGTCTTCCCCACAGCAGCTCGTGTCTGCACCCCTCCTGCTGGCGCCCCGCACGGTGCCGTCTCCACGACTCCGTCTTCGCTTCCATATTTCTGTTTCTTTTTTCCGCATTCTTTTTTTTTTTAAATAAATTAATTTTTATTGGTGTTCAATTTACCAACATACAGAATAACACCCAGTGCTCATCCCGTCAAGTGTCCCCCTCCGTGCCCGTCACCCATTCACCCCCACCCCCCGCCCTCCTCCCCTTCCACCACCCCTAGTTCATTTCCCAGAGTTAGAAGTCTTTATGTTCTGTGTCCCTTTCTGATATCTCCCACACATTTCTTCTCCCTTCCCTTATATTCCCCTTCACTATTATTCATATTCCCCAAATGAGTGAGAACATACACTGTTTGTCCTTCTCCGATTGACTTACTTCACTCAGCATAATACCCTCCAGTTCCATCCACGTTGAAGCAAATGATGGGTATTTGTCGTTTCTAATGGCTGAGGAATATTCCATTGTATACATATATTGATACTATCTCCTCCTATCTCGTTTATAATATTTTTCACGTTTATATTGAATTCTGGGCCCATGTGCTCTATCACTTCTGCCCCTGGTGGAACCCACGGAGCACTCCGCGGTGGAGCCTCGCTGGCCAGCCCGCCCGGCCCTGCAGCCCCTCGGCCCACCTGCCTCCGTCCGCCCCTGGCCTGCTGCCGGCCTCTGTGCTCCCCTGACGTAGTCCTGGGGCCACTCGTTCCAGCCGTTGGGCACCACGGGCCCAGAGGGGAACAGAATTCCATGCCTCACTCTTCCCTTGGGAGCCTTGTGCTTCTTGTCACGGCCACCTGCTGCCCACACGCTCTCCAGTGGCTTCTCACACTGTCTCCCTCAAAATTCTTCTTGGTCACCAGGGGGTGGTCTTAGGCAGCCATTCCCCTGGGGCCCGGAGCAGCAGCAGCAGCCGGGCACTTGCTAGAGGTGACCGAGTGTCCCGGTCCATCTAGACTCACCGAATCCAAGGCCCCGAGGGCAGGGCCCGGCTGTCTGCGTGTTAGCAAGCCTTCCAGCTGGCCTGCGCTCTGGTTTGGGGAGGATTGATGGAGGGAAGGACAGTCTTTTGGCTTCTACCTTTTCAGCGTGGCCTGCCCCCTTCCCACGCTGGAGATCGCTGCTCCGGTTCCCGATCGCCTCGCACACCCTTGCTCTGGCAGCCAGGTCGGGCTCCTTTGACTCCCTCAGCCGCATTGGCCTGATGCACCCACCGGGGTCAGCTCTCTGTTGGCTGCACGTAGCTCTTGTCCGGTCTTCCATGGCAATCTCCAGTCACTGCAGCAAAATCAATCATCCTTTCCCTAGAATATTCTAGGCTCCAGAGTTCACCGTGCAAGTTCCCTGTGTGCCTTTCACCTGCAGCGACAGTCGACCCCTGCGTCCTGCCTCCCCAGATGGCGTTACCATCTTCCGTGGGGAAGCCCTCCCACTGTCCCCACCCTCCTGCGTGCCTCTGCTTTTGTGAGGCCTACAGCTGAGTCTGGTTTTCCTCCTCTCAAAAGTCCGGATCTTTGCCCTTCTCTGCTTGGTTTGTGTCCAAACCCTGGCTTTGGGCGAGCAGTGACTTCCTTTCCTCATATTTATGTCCAAGACAGTGTCCATCTCATTGTCCGGTGCATAACAAATGCTCAGCATTGAAGGGATGGAATCATTTCTTAAGATGAATGAATGAATGAATGAATGAATGAATGAATACTTGCTAAAAAAGAGTACAGAGTAAAAGGTAGACAAATATTAGTCTTTTGGTGCTTATAAAAAGGGGCATTATTTGCTGATAAGTACTGGTTTGTTTTCCAAGTATTGTTATAATAATATAAGCCAATTTGTATTAATTCTTGCTGTTATTAGTTAAAATTAATTGAACACCAACCAAGAGCTTAAAATGTTCTCAGGGGCCTCTGAGTACTTGTACATAATTAAAAATATACTTTAATTAAAAAATCTAAAATTGGAAAGCAAGCCTAACTCTGGAAGAGCAGCTCCCACGGGGTTTAATTAGCTCGTCTGGATCACGCTCGCCGACGCGGTCATGGCTTTGCCCCTAACCCACGTCCCAGTCGTATGGTCTGCAGCAATGCCCCCAGCCCGGAGGTCGCTGCCCTGAAGTCTCCTGCCTGTCTCTTCTTGCTTTCTTCACAGATTATTTACCATGAACGGGCACCTTTTGGACAACTCCAAGGATCTGCAAGACAACCACTTTTATGTTGCTGCAGGACTGGAGACCTTCAAATATTTCCCTTACTGGAAATCCTCAAAGGTGCCCAGTGAGGTCCAACAGTGAGCACGCTTCGTAAATTAACCTCTGGAGTTGGTGCAGTTTGCCTCTTTTCCTAGTATCGCCCCCGAGCATGGCCAGTTCAGCTGTGGGTTGTTTTTCTGCGTATATGACACAGTTTTGGATTCTCACAGCTGGGCACGCGGGAACCCCTGTCGTTCGATGTATCACAAGGACAGTGAGCCCTTGTGTTGTGTGTTCTGCTTTTTCCCTGGGGACACTGGGCGCCTCGGACAGGAAGGGTCTCCGTGTGCCCAACAGTCGCAGAGCGGGCCCCGGGACACAGTCGTGATAGCCCATCTGGCGCCTTGTTCTGTTTTCTGAATTTAGCCGGCTTTTCCTGACCTGGAATCCAGAGTTTGTGTGGGGCAGCGGGCTCTCCCGGTGGAAAAGGTGGTGACTGTTAGAGCGGAGCCCAGCCCGGGCGTACGGGGTACACCACGGTGTGCGTGTTTGGAGAGTCGTGGGAACGTCTACAAGGAAGACGAAGGCACGGGTGGGATCTCCCATCCCATCACCGAGGAGCACGCACAGCGGCTGCCCCTTCTGGGGCATTTTGCTCACTCCGCTGCTTGCAGTCTGGATTTGGCCAGACGAGCTCTTGTAATTAGAGCATAATTCTCCCCCGTAGGCTCCTGCCTGAGGGACGCCCTGTGGACTTACTCTGAAGAGCAGCCCAGCGTTGGGGCTCTGCCCTGCTTGCCCAGAGTCCCGCACCGATGCTCACGTAGGCAGGCGTGGACTCTGCGTCCACCCGCAGTTCTCACAGTTCAAGGACCTTGAAGTCCCCTCATAAGGGTCTCAGTTACGTTCCCAGCACACAATTACACTTGATGCTTCCTTAGAGAGACTTCCGTGTTCCACCCACCTTGCTTTTTAGCTGTGTCGTAGGTAAGAGCTCCAGTGTTCCTGCTCCAAATACCCAGAGGGCCAGCAGTAGTCCAGAACACTTCTGACTTCCCTGGTGTTGTACTGGCCAGATTCAGGAGCCTGTTTATTAGTCTGGGGCCCTCAGGGGCTACAGTACTGGGTGTCCAGGCTGGGTGATAGGTCAGGAAGGAGGAGGTGACCTGTAAGACTGGAGTTCAGAGGTACATACCGATCCAAATCCTCAATTTTTTTGTTCCAATCAAAGCCCTAGCATCAGGACTGAGTCTGAGTTCATTGCCTTTGGATCCTCTGAGAAGACAGGGTGGGACGTGGGATGGCAGGCAGGCTGCCTCGGGTATGCCTGCCCGCGGACCTTGAGCCGCAAGGGGATGTGCCCTGCCAACCGTGCCCTTTGTCACCCGTCCTGGAAGGCGGGGCTCTGCTCCTCCCTAATTTGGTAGCTGAGTGTCAGGTGCCTCCCTCCAGTGCACACGGAGCTCTCCTTCCTGGGGGCTGTGGGATGCAGAGTTTACCTCGGGCGCCTGGCGCCCGTTCTGGGTCTGGCTGAGAGGAGTGGTTTCCAGCTGATGATGCTGGGATTTTGCGGCCTTGACTGCTCAGCCCCATGGGTGTGTTTGAACTACAGGCAGTGACAGCAGCTATTTGAGAGCCTGCCAGGGACCTTCTAATGTTTCTAATGGTCATTCTCTTGAGCGAAGAAAAAGAGGTGTCAGTGTCCATCTCATGGTGGAACAGGCAGGTGGTTTCGCCCCCCACCCACCCTTTGGGTTCCCTTGCCCAGAGCCTGGGAAGCTGAGACGCTGCCATGGGACCTCGTGACTATTTGCACTCATGTGCTGTTAGGGCTTCTACTCTGAGGCAGAGAATGGCTTTTGTCCTGTCCGAGGGGATGACCCCACAGCAGATGGTTAGGTTAGGGTCCTGCCTGTGACCCTGGCAAGAGCGGCTATTTCCTGATTTTGTCCACTTGCTCTTTCATGCCGAGTGTCCTACCTGCGCGGTGGGTGGAGATTACTTAGGGGCTGTTGAGATGAGGTGCACGGTCCTCTCTGCTCCCATGTCCCCCGCTCCCCACACGAGTCCCCTGGCTTCTCCATGTGTTTTGTTTTCCCCTGTCACCTGTTCGTGTGCTGAGCCCTGAGCTGGGTCTGTTGGTTGCTTGAATAGCTTTCTCCCTCACCAAAGAGGAAGAGAGTCCACAGAGTTGCTAAGAGAGTGACGTCCATTCTCACATGTGACGTGGACCCAGGAGGTGCCCCTCTGCTGGGGAGCTGGGTGCCAGAAGTGCTCCCTCCTTGTGTAGCGACGGCGGGGGTCAGCCCCCACACGGAGGGATCAGGAGCGGGGTGTGTGCCTGGGTGCCACGGGCTGCGTCAGAGGGGCAGGCGGCTGTCGTGTGGAGGAAGCAGGCTGGGCTGGGCTTTGCATGGGCATGGGGTCTCCTTGCTTCCCCTGGTCAGCGGAGCGGCGTTGACTAGACCCTCGTGTCTCTGAGCTGTGCTCTCTCTCTGGCCCAGGGAGAGCCTGGTGCATGTGCCACAGGTCCCCGCGAGAGTGCATGAAAAATCCGTGTTTGTGGGAGTGGCTGTCAACTGTGAAAACCTCAAAGCTGTTAGAATTTCCCCCCATGGTTGTATAAAAGCTTTAGGGCATGAGCCACCTGTAACCATGCTGCCCTTGGGCCAGAATGCCATCCTGATATAAATGGAAATCCATCGGATTTTCCAAGGTGTCCAGGAAGGAAGCTGGGCAGAGCTCAGTGGGGACCGTTTCTGCTCCGAGGATGGGAAACACCTGTCGATGTGAGTCGGTGCCGGAGGGGGGACTGGATGCGCCTTCGGAATGGCCTTGCCCTCCCGAAAGCCACGGCTGCAGCCTATGTTTATAGAAGGTTGTCTTTTGGTTGACTCTTACAGATTTCTAGCTGACTGTCTTTTGTCTTTCAGAAAGTATACGGACATCGAGAAGTACTCACGAAGGAAGAAAATAGTAAGTCCTTTTCAGGGCACCCGGGTGGCTCAGTAGGTTGAATGTCTGGCTCTTGATTTCAGCTCAGGTCATGGTCTCAGGGTCATGGGACTGAGTCCCGTGTTGGGCTCTGTGCTGAGTGTGGAGCCTGCTTGGGATTCTTTCTCTCCCCCTCTCCATCTGTCCCTCCCCAGATCATTCTTTATTAAGAAAAAAAAAAGTCCTCTTCATGCAGCAAAGATGAGAACTGTGCTTGATCCCAGAGGCAGGTGGAAGCCGGGTCCTGGCGGCCGCACGGGTCCCTACCACCCGTGTCTGTGATGGCCAACGTCTCTAACCATCTTATCTAAACTGTTTCAGAGGCTCTACTGATGTTGGTATTCATTCCGTGAAGCTGCTGGGGGCCTGTTGCCAGGTCCCCTTTGCTCAGGCATGCTCCCCGCTGGGACTTCGAGCTGACCTGTTCTTTCCCAGTATCTAACGGTCAGCCCTTGATGTGGCTTTTCCCCTGGTGCAGCTCAGACTTCATAACCACATCTCAACCTCCCTCTCGGAAGTACTCTGGCTTCCTTACGCCCCTGAACCACCGTGGTGCTTGCCTGGCCCGAGTCCAGCCTTGGATGAGCCCAACCCCTCGCCCGCCCGTAGCTGCCCTGAAGGGGTCAGCGTCGCTGGGGGTGATAATCCGACTGACCCAACTCTTCACCCCGGCTTCCCTGGAAAAGCCATACTGCTTAAAAAAAAAATGCTTTTCTGAATACCTTTTGCTCAATCTTGTCAGGGATTTTTGCATTGTCTGTTGATAAGTGATAATACTTCTCTTTTTACGTTGTCCTCATCTGGCTTTTGGCGTGAGGGTTTTTCTGAATCGACTCTGTTGTTATTTTGGGAGCTTCCTGAGCTGAATGATCATCTTATTTTCAGTTTTCTTTCTCTACGGGTTGCCTTTGGGATTAAGTGTTTGTCAGATGAATGGGCGAGAACCATCGAGAACACAGAACCGATAGATGTGATCCTGCCCTACGGATGCGCTTCATCGCGTGGAGATGGACGACACACGGATTTGTCTCATGGTTAAAAAGCTGGTGTGAGTGAGCCAGTGGGGGCGATGGTTTGTAGGAGGATAATCGACACGTGGAGATGGGTGAGCGGAGCACGGGTCCTAACGTGGGTCAGAGAAGAGGGCAGATTTTCCAGGTGGAGAGAGGGCCCAGGAGATGTGCACAGGACTCCAGCCTCGCAGTTTCCTCAGCGGTGTTTTCACGTGTGCCGTGGGTACTGAGCTTGAATGTTGAAACAACACGAGTGGTACAACCGTGGAATCTCCTGCTTCAGTGGTTTGGGAGGCCTCTGAGCTCAGAGGACAGAGCCAGTAGCCCGGGGTCGTCATTACTTGCTTTTGTTAATGCCCTCATTTCGTTATGTTGTTGTGACGCTGGGTTCCCATAGGGAGGAATAGTTTTATTTTCCTTTTGTTAGATATTTGTTCTCCTTGGTCTAAAACTTAAGACATGTTTGTTCTGACGTTGCTTCTTTTCTTTGGAAATCTATCACTGGGGAAGTTAACGGGGTTTGATGACGATATTTAACGTTAAGAATCCTGAAACAGAATGATCACAAATATGCATACGCTGCATCAGAAACACAAGGTGTTAGTCAACGAAAAATCATCATTGAAAATATTCTGTGACATGAGACAAGCCACGTAACAACAGAGCAAACACACTTCATCCCAGAAAACGGAAAGTCCTAGAAAAGAACGCCTTGATTTTAACAAAGGTTGATATAAAAATCTCTGCGTTTGTTGTAAAAAACACCTGTCAAGGTATTTTTACCTTATTGTTGTTCCTCGTGTAGAGGTCTACGTGATTTGTTGAGCTGAGAATTCGCCCCATGTGAGGAACCATTACATTTTTGAGGGTGAAAACTGTCCCATGTGTCAGGCTTCTCTGGCTGCAGGAGGCTGGGTTTTATTTCACTTTATTTTTTTTTTCACTTTATTTTCTGAGGCTGGGTTTTAGAATTAGTCACAGCGACCACATTTTGGTAAGTACGGTTGCTTCTGTATGTGCGTGTGCCAGGCTTTGCACGTGTCTCCTATTAAACTTCTTTGATTTGTTTTCCATGTGAAATGGGGTGCGTCTTACGTACGTGGCCTCTGACCACTACTGTTGGCACTCGTGTGTGGTTTTGCTGTCATCACGGTGAGCCCGGCTAGAGCGGCTCAATTTGCTGTCTCTCCCACTGAGGTACGCGTGTGGTTGGCACCACATGTGTTGAACGTTGTTGCTGTGCAAAGTCCTCAAGATGATTGAATCGAAGTGAAAAATTATTATATTCCCAGAAAGGTATATAAAGATAGAAGGGCAGTCTGTTATTAGTGGAGTACATTCTTCTTGAATTCCTTATATTTTTGCAAAGAAACAACCATCTCTTTTGTGGGACCTGAGAAAGGAAGTTGCCATTGGGCAGTGGAAGATACCGGTCAGTCGTGTATTACAGGGGAGCCAGCCATGCCCACGTCTAGGAGATGAAAACAGCAATGAGCACCACGTGTCATATGATTCATGGTGTTTGATTCCGTGAAATGAGAAGGCAGGTAATGGCCAGGAGCACAGGTGTCTGGGTGGCTCTGGATGCGGGAAAGTGGGAGAAGCTGGCGTGGATCCAGGTGTCCGTTAACTTGAGCCAATACTGTTTAGTCCAATGAAGATGACTGAGTGAACCTATTCTTGTTTCGTAATATCAGATCCAGTTTTACAGCAACTCATTTACTGTGATTTTATGTCTATTCTTTTCAAGGAAGCACAGCTAATTTAATAAATGTTTAAAACTGTATTATTATTATTATTATTTTAAAAGATATATTTATTTATTTATTTATTTATTTATTTATTTATTTATGAGAGAGAGAGAGAGAGAGAGAGAGAGAGAGAGAGAGAGAGACACAAAGATACAGGAGGAGGGAGAAGCAGGCTCCATGCCGGGAGCCTGATGTGGGACTCGATCCTGGCACTCCAGGATCGCGCCCTGGGCAAAGGCAGGCACTAAACTGCTGAATCACCCAGGGATCCCCTAAAACTGCATTCTTATATTAAAATGAATATTTTAAAGTGTAAGCCTCTGTAAAATATCAGTAAATAATTAATAAGCTTTGTTATATCACATCCATAACCAGAATGTCGATACTGCCTACTTCTCTTTTGGGCATAGAGCGCAAACGTTGGGGAATGAACAGAAATGAAGACTAGCTAAAACACTGACAAATTAGAGGCGCCTGTGTGTGTGTGCACACGTGAGAAACAGAGATGCCTACTGTGGGACACCCATGCTTTAATGACCAGGTCTAAACTGTAAAGTGCAGCGTGGAGCAAGTGCCTTGGAACTGACATTTGCAGGCCAGTGACGTCAGGACCGTAGCAGTATCACACAATATCCAAGGCTGCCTTTGTGTCTCCTTCTAGTGGCCTGAAGGTGCAACAGTTTGGTTCAAATGTTAGCAAATGTTGCACTTTAGCAATGCTTAGAGTGGGGGCTGGTTCACTGATGGCAGACCTCGACCCACTTGGAAGCGGGACGGTCACTCTGGAAGCTGGTGGGAGGGCGTGGCCTGACTCTGAACTTAGCCGGGTGGTTCCTGTTCTTGTAATTCGTCCACGTTACCCCGGGAGGCTGCCTTTCATGTGCCGGAGCAAGACTATCTGTTACAGCAGCATCAGAGTTTAGCTGGATTGGACAGTTTCTCTCCAGAGAAGAATGGTAGTCCCGGGAGCGCTACAGAGAAGTGAGCACAGCGTGCCCCACGTATGTTTCCTGAGGATGTTTTTAATGGGAGAAACGATGAATGAAATTGAAAAACAGCCCTCGTCACCTTTGCAAGAAGCGCTCGTGCTGATATCAGATTTGGGACTCAGAGCAGGGAGAAGCGGGGACAGGTGACACCTAGAAGTTTCCTCATGTGGGGAAGACACAGATTCTCTGTTTTCCTGCTCAATCCGATGTTTCCGAGAGCTGCCGTAAGTCTGTGGTTGCTCTGACAATAAAGGAGCACGCGGAGTGTCCACTGCACACCACGTGTGTGTATAAAGCTGAAGGCTGCGTGCCCCGTCCTCGGGGAGCTCAGGCCAGGGGGGCGCTGGTGGGTGGAAGCTGCAGGTGCATGGCCACCGGGTGCATGTGTGCAGGGGGTGGGAGTGCAGATGAGGGCTCCTCCGCTTGGGACACGGTGACGTTGGAGCAGGGCCAGCTGTGCAGGCACATCTGGGGCAGCAGGGCAGCGTGAGGCTGCGCCTTGGGCTCAGGAAGGCAGGCGGACAGGCCCGTGTGCGGGATGTGAGCCCAGTCACCTCCCAGACCCTGCACCCCGGCAGCCCTTCCCCTGTCTTTTCTCTGTTCTTTTCCTACTCTTCCATGTTGCATCTTCCCACTTAGCTCAGGACACCAGCAGAGATCTGCTGAGCACCTGCTGGGATTACTCCATAGGACCCGTATCCGTGTTGTGAGGTCGCCGATTGCCTGGGCCCAGGAATGCAGAGGGCAGCTCCTGGGTTCTTTTTTTTTTTTTTTAACTTTTATTTATTTATGATAGGCACACAGTAAGAGAGAGAGAGAGAGAGGCAGAGACACAGGCAGAGGGAGAAGCAGGCTCCATGCACCGGGAGCCCGACGTGGGATTCGATCCCGGGTCTCCAGGATCGCGCCCTGGGCCAAAGGCAGGCGCTAAACCGCTGCGCCACCCAGGGATCCCGAGCTCCTGGGTTCTGCTGGCGACGTGTGGGTGGGTGCTCCAGGGACCCAGCACAGGGGCCTGAAGCCAGGGGGGAAGGGAGTTGCAGGTGGAGATGGCTGGATGGTGGGCGGGAAGGCCCGGGCGGTGCTGGGGGGCCCGCGGGGGCTAGGAAGGTGGACGGGCTCCGACTGGACGCTCACGGCGCTGAGCTGAGGCATGGGCACTTCATCCTGCGGCTGGGACGCTCCCGTGAGTGTCTGAAAGGCGCAGGGAGAGGAGATTCCAGCGCCGCTCGCTCATTGGGCAAGTATTTACTGTGTGCCTACTGTATACCACCCGGCTCCAGGCTCCGGGAATCCGTTATTAGACGAACATCCCTTGTCCCATGAGGCTTCCAGCGTCCTAGTGGTGAGAGGCAAACAGTAAACATCCTAAATGAAGGCTGCCTGCGGGGCTGGGGCGACAGGATGAAGGGGAGGAGGGGCCCTGGGTGTGCAGGCCATCGCGGTCCTTGTGGAGACAGACGGGGACAAGCCAGGCCTTGGGCTAAGACGAGACGAGAAGCCACACCAGCCGGCTCCACATTTCACTGGATATCGTAGGAATAAGGTGCTTTAAAACACTGGTGTTTCCTTCAGGCTCTAGGGAAGGTATGAGATTAAACAAGAAAATCAATTTATTGCACTTGCGGCCACTCTTCACCCGCCATCGCGCTGGCCCGAGGTTCTGTGTGTGTCGGGCCACCTTCCAGCTGGGTGTGGACCAGCTCATCTTCGTCTCGTCGCCGCCCCAGGGGTGACCGGGCCGGTGGCCAGGCTGCGACGGTCTTGGCTCTCGTGTGTGCTTGGCTCTGTGCCAGCACTGCTCTTGTGTCCTCGTGAGGGCACCGTGCTGTGTCACCGTCCGTTGACCATTACTTCAGAGGTAACACGGTAAATACGTGGTGTCTGTCAGAGGGGCCGAGGATCAGGGAAATGGTTGCGAGAAATAGGTGTCAGCGATGCTCCAGGAGCCCGGCAGGTTGTCAGGATCCCGGCCCCCCCGCTGCCTGCAAAACACGAGCCACACACATGTACCATGTTCTGTCTCTAAAACCAGTTCTTTTTTTAAAAAAATATTTCTTTATTCATGACAGACACACAGGCAGAGGGAGAAGCAGGCTCCAGGCAGGGAGCCCGATGCGGGACTCGATCCCAGGACTCCAGGACCAGGCCCTGGGCTGAAGGATGCTGAGCCACCGGGGCTGCCCACTAAAACTAGTTCTGCTGAGATCTTGATTCCTGTGCTCTGAGCAGGATTTCAACCTTTACAGAAGCCCCTTAAAATGGGTAGAGAGATTTTGCTTGGTTCTTGTGTTTGCTTGTGGGACTGTTCTATGCACCTTAATTTCTGCCAGGAGAAGCCGGCCGGTCACTTGCATCGTAAATCTATTGATGGTACAGGGGGGTGTGTTTGGTTTGACGTTTCTCGGGTGCCGTGGAGAGCTCAGGAGAAACCTCTACGTATATAGTTCTGCCTACGTTCGGTAAAGATAGAAAACTGGGACGGCGCTTTGTATCATGGGGACAGTTTGTGGGACGGAGCTGGGAGGGCCCCTGGGATGTGCTCACCGTTAGCTCCGCTTCCACTGTGACTCCCACGTGCGTGGTCATCCTCCGCTGTCAGTAGATTTTTTTAGACACCTGAGTTTCCCTTTATCTCAACCCAAAACAAACCTGCCATGTGCTTAATATCCTTTTATCAGAGATGCCTCGCCTTGCTCAGAGGTCCCAGCGGGAATAGCTTTGTAAGTTGTTGGAAACAGGGGTGTTTATTCCTGAAGCTTCCAGGTGTGTCTAAAACCACACGGGCCTCCTCAGACGCACCTGTGCCCTTTCCAAAGCCGCCCCTCGCTGTGTCAGGCCTTACTGGGGCACCTCCGGAGGTGCTGTCCTCACCCTGGGAGGCGAGTGTTTGTGCCACTTTGCTGGAGACAAGCATAAGGGACTGAGGCGTCTGGACGGTGCCAGGAGGGAGGTCTCCTCCGGGCGCCCGAACGAGGCCGGAGCTTGCCCAGGGGTCAGACTCATGGCTCGCTGCTGTTCCTAATGTAGTTTTCATTCTTGGTTTGTGCCTTAGGAGGATTCCCAAGGAAAAGAACCTCATAAATACAACATTTCCCGTAAGGAACCGGATTCTGTGTTTTATGCCAAAGAGGGAAAGAAGAAAATGCTGGTAGACTCTTTAATCCCAAACGGCGCAGGTAATGTGGATTTCATCATTTTTAATGGGCGTTAAAAATGCTGCCATTTTAAGAATGTGTTTTTTTTTTGTTTTTTTTGGGGGGGGGTCAGTTTCATGCTGCAGGGAGAAGGCTTGTAACTGTCTGATTTTGACACTTGACTTGTGACTTTCTGATTTATTACGAGACCTTCAGCTCCAAGGGCCGTGGTAGTGGGAGGAGGGAAACAAAATCCCGCTGGTGAAGGCGATGGGCTTCTCCAGCCAGGAAGCCCTCCCGGATCAATGCAGGAGTTCCGTCCTCCCCGTGCACATCAGGGCAGGCGCCAGCTCTCCCCGTAAGGGCCGACGGCACAGCAAACAACCCACAAACCAATCAGCCTTTGGATGGAAATGCAAAACGAAAATCTGCCTGAATTTTGTTTTTTTTTTTGAGGGTGAGGGACTTTTGAAAGATTAGACTTTGGAGCTGATTTTATTTTATTTTTATTTATTTGTTAAAGATTTTATTTATTTGAGAGAGACAGAGAGAGTGAGCGAGCACAGAAGCAGTGGGGAGCTGCAGAAGGAGAGGGAGAAGCAGGCTCCTCTTCGGTACAGGACTCGATCCCGGGACCCCGGGATCATGACCTGAGCCGAAGGCAGATGCTTCACAAACTGAACCACCCAGGCGCCCCTGGAGCTGATTTTAAAATGAAATAATTAAAAAAAATACTTGTTCCGCTCCTGCTTCTGTTTTGCGGAGCCCTGGCTGGGAGCCGGCCACCTGGGGTCCCTTCAGCGTGTGTCGCAGGTGCTTCGCGGGGGGCTGGTGATGTGGAGCATAGGACCAGGGGAAGGAGGGCTCTGCCTTGCTTCTCTGCAGCATCTGACAGTTTGGGGGCATCATTTTTCTTGAAGACTTCCCCTCCCTGGGTCCTCATCACACACCGCGGGTCAGGCTTCCTCCTCTTTGTACTCTGATTGTCTCCTAGCTCCCGGGGAGCCCTCTGCTTGCTTCCAGGTGACAGTCTCTACTGTCTCCCTGCACTTCTCTCCTGCTGCCTGCCCGCTCTGGGCTTTCCTGTCCCAGATGATGGTCCTGTCCTACTGCTCTCGGGGGCCCCATCTGGTGGGGCCTCGGGGGCCTGTCCCACTGTGGCTGGGGGACTCTGTCCTGCTGTGCCCCTGGGTCCCTGTCCCGCAGGGCACCTCTGGAGGCCCCCCCATACCTCTGTGCCCCGAGGGCCCGGTCCCGCTGTGCCCCAGGCACTGGTTTGGACGGGGGGCGGGGGGGTTGAGACACCTGTCCTTCCATGGCGCTCCCGCCTGCTGGGCGCAGCTGACACCATGTGCTGATGCAGCCTGACCGCAGCCCGGATGGGCCCAAGACCAGAGCCTGTTGCCCCATAGTCCCCGAAATACTATAATATGTCACCACTAATAGAGAATTTAATCAGCGCATATAAAATTTCCTTCTTGGCCAAGCCTGTCCTTTGTGGCTGGGGCGGCCCGGCATGCATCTGACCTTCCCTCCGGGGAGCGGGGTGCTGGGACCCGGGTTCCTACTGCCCTCCCGAGCCTGGGGCCCTCGGCTCATTCCTCATCTACAAACGGGCGCAGTGGGTCCTTCGGAGGCTCTTAAGTTCAAGCACGCAGAGGGGAGCCTGGAAGCGCCGTGCGGACCTGACGGATGCTGCTTCTGCCTCCTCCGTACCTTCACCCGTTCCGCCCAGGACTGCGGGAGGGTCCTTGGGGGGCCGAGGGCCAGGACGGGGTGGGAAGGACAAGGAGTGGAAAGAGCTGGGGTCCCTGCACCCCTGGCCGCCGCGGGTACCTCCTCTGGGCGTTGAGGGAAGGGGCCGGGCTCCTGCTTTTTCTTTTGCCGTCACCTAGTCTCAGGCGGAGGATGAGGTTCTCCAGAGCCCCGGGATTCTGTAAGCACGTGATACACCCGGCTGCAATGCTGATGAGATGGTTTTCGTGTCGGCTCCGGGGACTACGTCACACCGTGCGATTTTAACACCTCGTTTGTCAAAACTCATTTTGTTCATTACTTCAAAACACGTTCTTGAAGTCACCTGGGAGTGACAGAGGTGCGCGTGCCCAGACCATGATTGTGATGTGTGCGGGGTTCTCGGAGTTTCTTTCTGACCTGGGCCCCGGGCAGAGGAAGCCCAGAGGTTGCCGAGCCGTGACTTTGGTTTGGGCCAGAAGATGTGCAGTGGGCATTGGCGTGAAAACCTGTTTGTGCTGTTTTTCTCCAGAAGGCGACGTGTACAAAGCCCAGACTCCTAGCACGGAAACCCAGGGAGCGCCGGAAGTCAGAGAAGACAAGGACGTGCAGGTGGAGGTGCCCGTGGACCAGGTGGGTAGCAGGTGTCACGCGACCGTGCCCTCGGCCTTCTTCCTTCGGCTCTGTCAGCCCCGCCTGGCTGCTGTCTCCTCCTCCCCCGGCTCCCAGGCTCGCCCGGGCTCTAGAATGTTCTCTGCCCCTCTGGTCGGTGGCTGCTCATCCCTCAGGTCCTGCATCACACGTTTTCCTGCCCGCTACTCTCCCTGGTGGGTTCTTCTGCTATGGGGACCGTTATGAATTTGGAGTCCAGCCTAGACTGGTGAGGTCCTGTCAGGTTTGTGACCGTGTAGTCAGCTGTGTTGTCACTGGAGTGCCGTCCGTTTCCCTCACGGTGAGGACGGGGTCGGCCTGCTGTGCTCGCTGCCATCAGCCTTGTCCCCGGGTCAGTGCCTGGCAGGGGAGGCCCTCAGAAACCACCGGCGAGACCACAGGGTGCTGGGATGCGTGGGGCACCAGGTGACGTGGTTGGGGATCGCGGGTCTCCCACTGCTTGGCCATCCGTCCCCCACCCCCTCACCTGTGCAGTGGGCATGATGCCCCTGGATGGCTCGTGGGGGGCAAAGTGAGGTCATGCACGTGTGAGTACCTGGTCCCAAGCCTGGTGCGCCCCCGCCCCGCCTCCTTGAGGCTCACAGAGGCATGAGGTGGAGGGAAGTGGGTGAGGCATGAGGGGGCCACCCCAGCCTGGATGGGAACAGAAGCACAGGGGCCTGGTTCCAGCCCGGCTCGGCCCACGCCCACCTGCTGCAGCTGCATCTCCCAGGTCTCTGTCCCCAGCCCCTGGTCCTGCAAAGGGCCAGCGGGCCGGGTGGGCTCTGAGATGCACGGCTTTGTCCCCAGTATCCACCTGAGGGCACTAGAAACACATTTCTTATTTTTTAGTAAGATTTTATTTATTTATTTAAGAGAGAGCACGAACAGGGGGAGGGGCAGAGGGCGCAGCAGAGCCCCTCTGAGCAGGGAGCGGGGTGTGGGGCTCGATCCCAGGGCCCTGAGATCATGACCTGAGCCAAGGCAGACGCTGCACCGACGGAGCCCCCCGGCGCCCCCCCGGCGCCCCAGCGTTCTGTGCAAGGTCCACGTGGGCACTGGAGCTCCGTTTTCCTCCCTCTGACGTGGACTCGGCGTCAGTCCTGCACGTGTGGTTAGAGCCCAAGCCCGGGCGACAGCGAGCTTTCCGCTCCTCTTTGGAAGATCGCGCGTAATTTTCTCACTTTATTCTATTTTTCTTTCCTGTGGTATATTTTACGAATGAGACAGGCCGCGTCCGGCCCTGGCCACTTCCTCTGGCATCTGGAGCACTTTCCCCGGGGGTCCCGTTGTGCTCTCTAAATCGCCAGTGATAGCATTTATTCTTTTCCTCAACGTGGCGAGAAATGACCAGAAGATTCAGTTCTCTCTTAAAACCCAAACTAACCATGTATGTTTATTGCACATTTAAGGATTTTTGTAATAACTAAATGCAGACATTTTCGGCAGTTAGGGTTATACCAGAAATTAGCACCCGGCCCCCCTCCAATGCTGGTTAGGGTCCTCGGGGTGTTCCCGTTCTGGGCAGGTTTGCAGCACAAGCGTAGTCCCTAGTGTCACGCAATCTCCATCACTGCGACCGAGAAACGTTCTGGGGAGTTTGTGTCGCTAGTGTTTGATTTCCGTGGTATTCGGGGTGATGCGGTGATGGGGGGGTCCCCAGAAGGGCGAGTAGTGGGGGGGAGGAGGGGCTCTGGGGCCAACGGGGCACTCCTCCATGGAGGGGGTCAGGAAGGTCAGAGGGAGGAGGAGGCCAGGCCCCGCGGTCAGGAGAGCCACTGCCGCTAACCACGCCTCTCCCCCTGGGGGGGGGTGACGGTGCCTGGGACTGCCTGGGTGTCAGGGGACGATGTCAAAGCAAGTTCTGCAGCTTTGAAGGACAAGGAGGCCATGGGACTCCCAGCTCAGCTGCCTCATGGGCTTAAAGACGAGAGGCGTGGGGGTTGGGCCAGTGGGGGGGTGCGCGTGCACATGCGTGTGAGCAGAGACACACACCTGCTGCCACCTGTGGGGCTGGAGACGAGCGGCTGGAGGGGCTGAGTGGGCGGTGGGTGCCCGGCACACCTGGAGCTCCGCTTACCGCCCCCCCCCCCAAACTGGCAGGGGCTCGGCTCCGGCTCCGTAAGTCCCAGGGGACAGACGCAAGAGGGTCCCAAGGGATTGGATAGACGGATGCCCGCGGGGCAGGTTGAGCTGAAGTTTGTAGACAGACCCGTCCCCGGACTGAGCTCTGCGTCTTTGAGGACAGGACTCCCTGAGGTCACTGCCTTCTCCATCCGTCCCCCGGGAGACCACGGTGCGCGTTAGCAGAGTCGGTGTTTCAGAGAAGTCCTAACATTAGACTAACGTGTAGGCTTTTGGGTTAACGCCGGTTTCCTTCCCCAGGAATGATTTTCCTTCTGGGATCCCCGTGAAGCACGGTGTAGGCCCTGCCACGATGCAGTGTCCAAGGGGTGGTTTTCTGCCCTGGGGGAGGGGGGAAGAAGGTGGTGTTGTGGAGCAGGGCAGCAGGATGTGGTTTGGCAGGTCCCCCGGGTGGGGTCCTCACGCAGGGGACGGATGCTCTGCTACCTGCAGACCTGGCCCGGGTGGGGGTTCGATCAGAGTGGCCCAGCCTGGGTGGGGGTTCATGCCAGAGTGGCCCAGCCTGGGTGGAGATTCGCATCAGAGTGGCCCAGCCCGGGTGAGGGTTCGCCCCAGAGTGGCCCCCACGCCTGGAGAACCACGTGTTTGTCTTGGTTCTGTGTTTACGTGCTGAGTGAGCTCTGGGCGCGTGTTGCGGCTGCTGGTTTCCTTGTGGGGGGAGGAAGATGCTCCCACTGATGCCCTTGGGACTTCCCAGCCCATTAATGAAGGAGGGTCTGGCCTCCGTATTAAACTATTAGCTTATAGTGTTGGCTTTTATAATAACCTGGAGTACTTTGCTCGTGTTTTTGAGGAACTGGTTTTCACCTTGTGGGTGAGCCTGATGATGTCACATGTTACTTTTTATTTTTTTATTTTTTATTCACGGGGGATGCAGAAAGAGAGGCAGAGACCCAGGCAGGGGGAAATGCAGGCTCCCTGTGGGGAGCCCGATGTGGGACTGGATCCTGAGACCCTGGGGTCACGTCCCGAGCTGAAGGCAGAGCCTCAACCGCTGAGCCCGCAGGTGTCCTGTCACATGTTATTTCTTATCCCCGGGGCCTCACCTTGTCGTCACTTTAGTGTTGCTGTGAAAATACAATATTACAAAATATAACATCCCAGTGAATCCATTTATGAATTTGGAGTCCAGCCTAGACTGGTGAGGGGAACCTCAAGAGCTGGGCGTCCCCCAAGCCCGAGGGCATCGTTGGAGCTGAGCATACTCACTTGCAGTCGAGAGCACCAGTTGCCAGCAGAGGACTGGAGGGAGCCTCGGCGAGGGGCGAATGTGCTGGAGGCCGCTCCACTCGCCATGGCTACATCACTGCGTGTCGTGTCACTGAACTCCCTCCGCTAGGTGAGGACTCCAAGTTCAAGTCCCGATGAACGGAGAGGGTGGCCTGTCCTTTGCTCCCGCTGGGTGACGTCACGGAATGTCCACCTTTTGTGGTGATGAGCGAGACTCATGCTGTGGCCTCTCATCTTGCCTGTGTTCCAAGGGCTAGAAACTTCCCTGTACTTTTAAGTTGGTTTGAGAATCTCTTGTTGCTGCACAGAGAGGGGAGGACGGGGGAGTCAGAAAGTGGGGCGGGGGTGTCGGGAACAGCGATGAGCAGAGGCCACGGCTGCTCTGAGCATTGCTCCCTGGCAGTCCAGGACGATGGTTGATCGCACGTTTTGACCTGCGTTCTGATTCCTACAATGTCCTATTTTTGTGGTCCTGTCTTCCGGTTGTTTTCTTTGTGATTTTTTTTTAAATAATAAATTTATTTTTTATTGTTGTTCAATTTACCAATATACAGAATAACACCCAGGGCTCATCCCGTCAAGTGCCCCCCTCAGTGCCCGTCACCCAGTCACCCCCACCCCCGCCCTCCTCCCCTTCCACCACCCCTAGTTTGTTTCCCAGAGTTAGGAGTCTTCATGTTCTGTCTCCCTTTCTGATATTTCCTACCCGTTTTCTTTGTGATTTACTCACAAAGATCGATGCGTCCTTGCAGCGATGCACACCACTGTTTCTAGCCTCCACCTTCTGTCTCTTGGTTTTCTCCCAATGGAGACATTTGCAGTTGCTTCGGTAGAGCCTCTTTCTCCTGCTCACGTTAGGCTCCTGGTGGCGAGAGCGCATCCCCAGGCTTTTCTCAACTTGGCGCTGAGATGCTTGTAGAATTCCACTGATGGTCGTCGTTGGCTCATGGGAGAAATGCGGTAGAGATGCCAGGTCAGCGGCGCTCTTCTCAGTAACCACGTGATCTCGCTTACGTGTGTCGTCACTGCTACAGCTTCAGTGTCACCGAACCCTATTAGTCCTGAACCAAGTGGCTCCTGACCAAGACGGAAGGCGTAGCGCATGGGGAACACAATGCAAGGGACGGGGAGAGAGCGCTAGGGTCTGGCACTGGGATGTTACCAAGTGTTACGCTGGATTAATAGTCGGTCTTGACTCACGTTTTCTTTTTTCCTGTGCTATGTTGTTTCCTTTTGAGTTTGTGTTTTTAAGATATTACAAATTATTTCCAATGCTTTTTGTTTCTCTCTAGTTTTATTTTTTTTAATATTTTATTTATTTATCCATGAGAGACAGAGAAAGAGGCAGAGCCACAGGCAGAGGGAGAAGCAGGCTCCATGCAGGGAGCCCGATGTGGGACTCGATCCCGGGACCCAGGGTCATGACCTGAGCCAATGGCAGATGCTCAACCACGGAGCCACCCAGGCGTCCCTGTCTCTGGTGTTAATAGCGCACACTGTATCCCCTTGCCGACATTTCTACCCGCGGGCCTTGGGTGGAGGTCTAAAAGAGAAGATGCTCTATCAGCTTTGACTCTCTGGGGGAGATAAATTTTTACACCGGCTTCCATTTCAAAGTCGTGAGTTATTATACCCCAATGTTAAGGAAACATTTCTTAGCTCTTATAATTTACACAAAATGCCACCCAGATAGTAACACACTGAGGTTGAAATTCTTCCTTGATTCAAGGTGCGCATTTTTCACAAAAGCAATGTCTTCTGCCAGAGTTAAGGTCATGTTGATTTTTATAAATATCTTAAAAAGACAGAAGAGTGCCTAGAATGGTGGGCTCTCTTTGGTGCAGGACTCTGACTTTCGATTTTTTTCTGGGGGAAGGGAGAGATACTTTAGCATTTTTCACCAATTCCACTCGCCTAGAGCGCCATTATGTCGTCATTCTCCAGCGGGCGCTGGGCACGTCCAGTGGATGCTTGGGAAGGGAAATCAGGGGACCGGGTTGGCTCCTGACATCTACTGAAACGTGGTCATTTTCAGAGAGTCCCCCGGGGCCAGTCCCAGCAGAGAGCGGCTTTGCTTAGATTCCCTGTGGCAACCCGAGCAATGCACCTGAACTTTAATTCATTTCACTCCAGAGAAAGAGCTAAGAATGAGACACGAGCTAAATTAAAACCAAAATAATTTGGATTAATTAGGAGAAGGTCAGTATGCATTTGTATAATCTCCCACTTGTTTAATTAGAAAAGACATAATGGAGCTTTAAGCTTTAAGCTTGTAGGTGCAGGGAGTAGGTCGGATTAGGCTCACTAAGGTCCCTGGGATGCTCCCTTTAATGAATAAATTAAAAAGCAGAATTAGTAGTGTATCTGTTCGGATGCTTCTAGCTGGAAAGAACAGCAACCCCCGAGAAGCGGCTCACACGTGAGGGACACTTATCTGGAGTCTGGAGGCCCCCTGCGTCATGGGAGCTTGCAGGGTCGGCTGGCCCAGCCGTGTCACCCCGGGCTGGTCGCTGGCGTCGCTGCACCCACCTTTCTCTGCACATCGACTTTGGGCCTCAGGCTTGTTTCCTCACGGTCTCAAGACGTTGCCTCTGCTGTCGGCGGCACGTTGAGACGTGAAGGCTAATGTGACGAATGGAGACCCCACTTCCTTCCCTTGTGCCTTTTCCAGATGGTGAGAACAGTCATTCCCAGGGGCCCTCCCGAACTCTACCGTGTGTCGGCCTAGTCCTTGCCGTAGTTGGGGAGACGCCATGGGCCTCCAGTGGTGTAGACTAACCAGGGTCTGCGTCTGGTGTCTGGAAAGTGGCCTGGGCTCTCCTCAATTATGTGATTTTTCCTTCATCGAGGGGCGAGGTAGGGACTGGTTATGAGCTAGGTAGCTCTGGTGTCTACACACAAATCCCTCTGCACCTTCCCATTATCACGATGGAGCTGCCTGTCCTCCTGCCTTCTCCTGGGCTTTGGATCCTGTCCCCTCCAAACCCTTCAAGGGTCTGGTGCTCTCAGGTTATTTGTCTTCCCTTTTTGGGTAGGTTGGACTCCTGGCTGGATGCTACGCATGCTGGAAGCAAGCTGGTTATAACCAGAACCGTCCCTCCTTGGCCTCCTTCCTCTGCGAGCAGCTCTGTCTCTCCCAGTCCTTGGAGGGATGGTCCCTCCTCTCCCCAGTTCCTCCATCCCCTCTCCCCTCCCCTCCCCTCCTCTCCTCTCCTCTCCTCTCCTCTCCTCTCCTCTCCTCTCCTCTCCCTCTTCCGGCTTCTGTCCACAGGGACACAGAACAGCTCGCTGCCTCATGCCCCAAATCCAACACACTTCTCAGTTCTCAGGGCGCTTGACCTTCCTCCTCCAGCTGACACTTCGGGCCGCTCCCTTTTCCTCAAGCGCCTTCTTCCTTTGGCAAGACCCACCCGGCTCCTGATTTTCCTTCCATCTGTCTGGCCTCTCATTCTCATTCTCATTCTCATTCTCTTTCTTTTTAAAGTGTTATTTTTTAAGTCCTCTCTACACCCAACTGGGGCTCTAAGTCATGACCTTGAGATTGAGGGTCTCATGCTCTTGCCGCTGAGCCGGCCGGGGGCCCCATTCTCCTCCGTAGGCTTCTTCTTTTTTTTTTTTTTTTGTCCTCCGTAGGCTTCTGATCCTCCAGTTGGCTTGGAATGTTGGAAGTCAGCATGGGTCAGGGCAGGGCAATGTTCTTCTCGCTCTAGGTCATCTCCCCAGATAGAAAACTCTGTCAGGCGGCGCCACTCTCTCTGCAGGTCTCTTTTCTGGGCTCCAGATGCAGATGCACACACATGCACACACATCCAGAGACACATACACATGTACACACACACACATCCAGACATAACACACACACACACACACACATCTCCACACACACATCCAGAGAGACATATTCACATCTATAAACACACACGCAGAGACACATACACACGCATCTAGATGAACACACACATACATCTTTTGTAGATCCGGACACATACACACCTCTACACACACATCCACACAGCCACGCACCCACATCTCCACACACACACGCACACACACACATCCACACACACACATACTGTGAACTGACATCACCTGTTGGATGTTCCGAGATACTGAAGTTCACAGTGAGAATGAACACGCGTCCTTCCACACCGTCTGCACACCTTGCTCTCTTCCCGTCAGGGGGTGTATGACGCCCGTCAAGACAAGTAAGACAAAGAGAAACGTAGAGATATTCCTGAGACTGATTGTTTCACCTCCTCCATATCCAGACCACCTCAACGCCTGCAAGTGTGACCTCCTAGATACGTCTAGAATCGACCATCCTGACTACCACCATCCCCTGGCTAAATTACTGTGATCTCTTTTTCTCCACTGTCCAACCACCTCTGAAACCCCTCAAACTCAGTGCTTCCTCCTGCAGCAGAGCTTCCACGTGCCCTTGCCTTTATCTGGAATATTCTTTCTTTGCCTTTTTATGTATTTTTTTTTAATCCCTCATATTTCAAGTTGTAGTCACATCAGAGTATATGTTAAACCCTGGTACATCCTATTAGCTCCACGTATCTCTCTTACAAAGCATATCACAGTTGTGGTTTTATACTTACTTGTGCGACTCAATTAACATTCGTCTCCCCATATGAGTGAGCTTCTTGGGGGCCACGCTGGTTCGCATTCCTGCCATTGTTGTATGCCAGCCCGCAGTGGACGTGAGGCGTGTGCACTCGCTGCGCCCACTCTGACTGGTACAGAACTACGATGGAAGTAGCCCCTGGGGGGGCCCTTTCTTTCTTAGCCACAGAACCACATGGCTTTCGTCTGGCGGAGAGGCTCCAGGGCACCAGGTACACGGAGCTCACTGCTTTTAGCCAGTGAGTCATGAAAACAGGAGCATGATATGCGAGGATGTGAGCAGCACCACTGTGTGTGGAGCGGGACCACCCAGGCGGTGGCGGGCGGGTCTCAAACACAGGGAAAGAGGACACTGGTTGGGGTCCTCAGGGGCGGACGGAGGATCTCGGGCATTTATTACCTGCAGGCCGGAGGCATCTGGAGGGATGAGCCACTCCTATTTACATGAAAGGGGTTTCTAGTTAGCAAACCTTAAAGGTTTCCCCGACAATTTTGTTAAATAGGTTAGCATTTCATAAGTGGAGCAAAAGGTAAAAAGGCAGACACAGTTCTGGGTTTGAAGTAACCACCGTGGAAAAGCCGGCGGTATTTTCAGCTCTGTCCACAGAAGTGGTTCACGGAGTTGCACTATTTCTCCGCCCTTTGCTCCTTCATGGGGTTTGACATAGCTTGACTGCCACTAAATCTAAACGTGGTGTGTTTTCTCTCTAGACACCAGCTGAGATAGTTAAGGAAGATGAAGAGTTCCACGATAACCCCCCTGGTCTTGAAAGCGACAAGGTGAGCCAATTCTACTTTTATTTTGAGTTTAATGGTGTGGGCCGAAGGCACCTCCTTATTCCTTTTTAACATGTTGGGTGGAGCTCACGTTTGATGAAGAAAGAATCTAAAAGTCCAGTCCATTCCAGAATAGAGATGAGCATGGAATTAGAAACATAGCATGTTCCCAGGCAGGCTGTGCCTTAGATCTGGTCTCTCGGGTGCCAGAAATTACGTGAGTAATTTTAATGGCTTCTATACTTATCCCAGTTACGTTTTACTGTGTTCCCAGTCACAGACTTAAAACTGTTTTAACAACAACTTTGAAGATATATTTTTGGAGGGAAGAGTCTCAAGGTGACTAGCAGCAGGTGTGTAGGTACGTAGGCGTCTGTGGACACCATGGGCATCCTGCTTTGTGGGGCGTACGTGTTGTGTAAACAGTCTTCTTGTGGGACAAAGCAGAACGTGGATGGTGCACGCTCCATAGATGGCAGCATGAGCCAGGCAGGGGGGAATCCTGGCTGCGGGTGTCTGTGTCCAGGTGCTGCTCCTCTCCCCGTCCAGATGCTGAAGATGTGCCGTCCGAGCAGGGAGCATGTTCCTGTGGTCCTCTATGAGGTCATGTGTATCGGGGAAACAAAATTTACTTTGCTTTGATCTTATTTTTTTTTTTGAGGAATATCTGGCATTTAGAGCTGATTAACATATCCACCACAGGTAGTTACCATTTCCATTTTTTTCTTTATCATGGGGGGAACGTTTAAGACAAAATTTACTTTACGTAATTCACGTGGGTAAGAGATAGATTTTTGAGAATTTGTTTTGAAAATCCCATCTCTAGATTTTTTTTCAGAGTAGTTTCTTATTAAAAAAATTTTTTTTAGAAAGAAAGAGCATGCAAATGCAAGTGGGAGATGGTGTGGAGGGGCAGAGGGAGAGAGAGAGAGAATCTTAAGCAGACTCTGTGCTGAGCGCAGAGCACCACCCTGAGATCATGACCTGCGCCGAAATCAAGTCAGATGCTCAATGGACTGAGCCTCCAGGCACCCCTCTTGTTTTAATTTTTTTTGGCTCCAGGAAGGGGGTTGTATAGTAGGTCTGGGGTATCACATCTGAGTCCGTTCTAATGCCAAAGCCTCCAGAACTACCAGTAAACCTGGGGATATGGGATGGCCTTACGAGCCGTCCTTCCCCACTCTTCAACCTGCCGGGCGGCCTCCTGGTTCCCACATTCAAGAACAGAGGCAGGTGAGCCCGGGGGGCCGCCGGGATGGGCTGGAGCCACTCGGCACTGTCTCCGGCTTCTCGCCCACCTTGGGAGGGGCATTTGTGGGAAGGGAGGTCTGTTTGGGTTATTCCAACATCAGTGGCATTTATGATCTGAAACAGACGGTCAAAGGGATCGGGCTTTCAAACAATTCTCCTTCCTTATATTTTTCCACAGTTTTGACTGGGAGGCGGATTTCAGTGAAAGCATACGGTGTGTATCTAGATGGTCGGCAAGACTTTCAACTGAGGAGGAAAGAGAATGTTTAGTTGCTTTGGTGTCAGAGCGTGAGACTGGGTTCTGGGAGTCAGAGGAATGTCAGTCCTGCAGCGTCAGGTGAAGGGGTGCGGAAATCACCTGTTTGCACTGGGGCGTAGCAGAGAAGGGCACTAATGTGTGTCAATTTTTATTTTATTAGAAAGAGGGCACAGGCGTTGTGACGACATTGAGTTCGCGCTACGCCTGAGCACCTTGCGGGGACTGGCCATGGGACTTTGCCATCCTTGCCTTATTGACTCTTTATGTAAATCGACTCGGGCCTCTGGGAGTTTGTGGGTGTTAGTAACTTGACATCAATCAGTAGATTTAATTTCTTAGAGTGAATCAGAGTGTCTTTCTTAATGCAGGATCGGAATAATGGCAAACCTGAGCATCTAGTTTTTATTTTTATTTTATTTATTTATTTTTAAAAGATTATATTTATTTATTCATGAGAGACACACAGAGAGAGCAGAGCCACAGGCAGAGGGAGAAGAAGGCTCCATGCAGGGGGCCCGATGTGGGACTCAATCCTGGGTCTCTAGGATCATGCCCTGGGCTGAAGGCAGGTGCTAAATAGCTGAGCCCCTCCAGGGATCCCGTCACCTAGTTTTTAAATGTCTGGGTTTGCAATCTCAGCTCCTGGGGAAAGGCGGTGATACAGAGCAGCGGCAAGATGTGAGGGGGGCAGGGAGGGCATGGGGAGCTGGGGGTTTGCTCTGCTGGGCACTGTGCTTGGCCCTGCTGCCCGGCCGCCTCACCTCATGTGCACTCCTCACCTGGGTGTCAGCACCCACCCTTGTAGACCTAGAAGCAATGAGACAGGAGAGAGCTTGAGAGCTTGGTAACCCGCTACCACCCTATAGTCAGGAAGGGGGGGGGCTTGCATTTGAACTCAGTTCTGAACAATCCAGGGCTGTGCTTTCTGTCTGCACGGTGAGCTCTACTACTCGTGCCTAATGTCTCAGGACAGCCGTTTACTGTGTCAGGCTCCAGGTCTGTCCCTTGTGATGCTAAGTGTTGTGTTACTCCTGTCCAGGAGTGTTTACTTCTATGAGGTCCACACCACTCCATATTTGCTTCTTGTGTGACCGAAATAGAACTTTGTGGGTGTTTTTCATTATTGACATGAAAATCTAGCCTGTGTTTTTGAGGCAAGAAGGAGAGCAAGCATCTTATGTGTAATATAACAGCTGGTAATAATAATAAAGTAATAATTAACGCTTCCTGGCTGTTGGCCACAGTGATCCGTATCTGCTCTCAGTGAACTATAGTTTTTTTTTTTTAAAGACTATTTATTTATTTGAGAGAGAAATCACGAGCAGGAGGAGAGTGGCAGAGGGAGAAGCAGACTCTCCGCTGAGCAGAAAGCCTGATACGGGACTCGATCCCGGGGTCCTGAGATGATGACCTGAGCTGACGGCCGGAGCCACCCAGTAGCCCCAGAGAACTGCAGTTTTATTTTGTGTTTCATTTCCCTGTTGATTTGAAAAATGAGTCATGTGATATTTATTAGACACTGACTATATTAAGTTTTTTTTTTTTTTGGTGTGTTATCTCCCCCTCCCCTTAAATTGTGAAATTCTTAGAGAGCAGAGCACATGCCTTGGCACTTCCCGTGTCCCTCACAGTGTCTGGGACAGTGCCTTCTACACAGTAGGCGTCCCATAAATGTTTGTGGATTTGCTCTGAGCTACCAATGGCTAAGGTACTTAAGCTTAAGTATATAATCCCTGGGGTAAAATGAAAATCACCTTGCAAGGTTGTAAGAGAGCATGTGATTGTGAACAACATTTAAAAAATATGTATGTCTGCTGTTTGATCATAGGGTGTCTGTTATCACCTAAAATTTTTTGTGGTGAAATATATGTATATGTAAAGCAGAAAACTTGCCATTTTAGCCATTTTTTCAGTGTATAATTCAGTGGCAGTAGGTCCCTTTGCCGTGTTGTGCTGCCATCAGCACCGTCTATGTGCAAACGTCTCACTGTCCCAAGCAGAAACTCTGTGCACCGAGCTCAGACTCCTCATCGCCTCCCCTCTGCTGCCACTAGAACAATCCGGGGCTGGAGGAGCTACGTCCGTGTAGGTGTCAGGACGAGATGCTCGCCACCAGCCCAGGGAATTGGACACATGTCTTATTTTGTCCTTATGCACGTTACTGGCACAGAAGTGGGTGAAACCAAGAGCAGAGGTAGAAAATAGAGCCGTGCTTTCACCCGACACTCCCTCCTCTGTATGCTTCGACGACGCTGATTCTACAGCGGTGACAGCCCTACTGTATCTGATGCTTCAGTCATACTTTCACCTTAACACGGACCATCATCGTTCATTAGCTCATTTGAAAAGCTCTTCTGTGAACTGATAAAAGTGATGTGTGTACATCTTACCTGTGTCACATTGTGTGCACGGCACCCTCTGTGAACTGGCCTGGGTGCTTGAGAACTCTCCAAATCCAATAGCCCACAATATACACATTGATAACACCAAACAGAAACAGGTGGGATCACTCTTAGGGCCCCCTGGGGCTCTGGCCGCCATGGGAAACACAGGTGCCGCACAAACAGCAGGTGGACCCGCACGCACGTCCAAGGAGTGAAGGCCCCAGAGAAGATAACGTGTCCTGTTTTGTATAAAGTACTTAACTAGAAGTGTGTGAAAATGCAGAATTTAGAGTAGGAGAGGTGTGGTGCCAGGATCGGGGCAGGACATGGGAGGAGGGAAGCCGCCAAGGGCCTCCTTACCAACCGGGAAGGTGAGGGCAACAGGAGGGTAAGTTGTTTGACACTATCCTGCTTGCAGAGAGTTGATCACGTATTTTTTTAATAATAGGAAAAAGAAGATGAAAGTCCTTATGAAGATAATGAAAGAAAGGTTTGTCCAACCAGTTCTGTAATTTTTGTGTTTGGTGTTCTGAAGACCTCACGAGATGCCCAAATCTCACCAGATGCTTTTTAAGGAATACAACTTTGGGCCCCGGCCGTCAGGCTCAGGGTGAGCGTGTCAGCGTGGGAGGGCGCAGGAGGAGGATGGGCTCCCCACAGCCGCACCACTCGCAGCCCCCGGGAAGGTGTGGCTCTGGCTGGACAGCTGGCCCCACGTGGCAGGCGGGGACACGTCCATCTCCGTGGTCCTGCCCTCCCGGTGGTAGCTCCGTCCTACACAGAATCAGCCTCACTGGTGGGGCACCTGGCTGGGGTGGCTCAGTCAGTTAGGTGTCTAACTCTTGACCTCAGCTCAGGCCTTGACCTCAGGGTCATGAGTTCAAGCCGCGCTTCGGGGTCTGTGCTGAGGGTGGCACCTACTTAAAAAGTCTCACTGCTATTTGTTAGATGATTAAGTGGCCATAATGATTTTTGTCTGAGTATGCAAGATTTTACTTATTCCTTAGTTCACTTAGCTTCCTCATCGCTCCTTGAGGAACTTGGGCCATAAATACTAATATTGGGGAAGGTTATCTAATCAAAACCGGCACGCGGAAGGCACCTGGGAT